GAAGAGTGTGAAGGTTACAACGTCCTGCCCTCCTTTGTCGGCCTGTCATTCCTGCCTCTGTCTGAAGCACCTCTATTGTTGTTATAATTATGGCTACAAAAGCCACCGACTGATACAAATCATGCGGTAAAGGCAAATACAAGCAAGGGGTCGATCGAGGGGACTTGTTTACCTAAAAACACACAAACGGAGACTGCGACAGTCTTGAAGTCTTGGTTTTCTGACTGAAGATACGGGTGCTTTTAATGGAATTGTCCCGGTTAGGTGAAACATTTAGTGTACAATATTTGAGTTTTTTGTGTTAAGAGATTTAGTACCAGCTGAAGCCGATAAGAGTCTCAAGTGTTAATGCCTGACGTCTCATCTTGAGGGGAACTTAAATGGTTTTACTGTTCGTCTACGAATGAATTAGTAAGAGTGACACATCTGATAACAAAAATGATTCAGCATGTTTGAGTATTATTTGATCACAAGGATTACCTTCTTTTCTTCATGGCGTGGTACGTTTCCAACTTCAATTTTGAGGAAGACCCCTAATTTACCAACAAAAACAACTGGCAAACAGGGCCACTGTGATGACACACAGCAGATAACGTGTCCCTTATCTTCTTCCCAACCATCCGAACCCACTGAGGAGGAGCACTTGACACTGATTTCACAATCATTGTCTGGCAGCGACCTCATCCCTTCCTCTTCTCGCCCGGCGCTCTCCTCAGTGAGATCTGTGTGCTCACTCAGCCAAGCGCGCCGACGTCTAATCAACAGCAATTAACCCCGGCCTCGCTCACGGGCCGCGCAGCTATGGGAGATAATGAAGACACCACTGTGTTTTCACTCCCCCCCCCCCCTCTGTCAGCGCCCTGCTTTTGTCACCCGGTCGTTTCCCCCATGGCTGGCTGCCGATGGAATGTGATCGGCCGACTCAGGGAACGTGTACTCTTGATATCGCTGTGGCTGCTGGCTCAGCGCTGTGTAGGAAACAAGAAACCGCACAGAGTTGGAGGCTTTTTTTCTGATTTTCGGAGAGGATTTCTTTTTTTTTTTTTACACAAGATATATATGTTATGTGAGATAGGAGCCACTGCGGCTGGTGTGTGACAGACCGTGTTTGGGCTGTTTTTAATTCCTCTCTCATCCCTTGTTGCTGGGACAATGGAGTTCTAGGCCAAATCCCTCCTCTGCTTCTGTGGTCCTGCTCCAAATCTCAACGCAAAACATGTAGTCAGACCTAGAAAACAGAAAATAGGCACAGGACACATCCGCCAAGGGTCGGACAAAGGTGTTTTTGCGTAACAGAGACAGTGAGCAGATCTCGGATGGGGTTTTGGAAAGCGCCTTGTAATCTGCAGCAGAAAGGACGACTCAAGTGTCAGTCAAGCTCCCCTGTGAAAAGCCGTCAGGCGAGTTGGAGCCTTCGGTGCAGAAATAGCATGAGCGATAGAGAACACCCCTGCTCTTCCCCCACACATGACCTTTGAGGAAACATGTCTACATCAAATACTCTGAATTATCTATTCAAATGCCTGGAAACAATCTTTAGACAATGACACATCAATCAAATGCTCCCTGAACCGGGCATGGCTGTTTATATAAACGCTGTCCATCTGGGGGAGAGATCTCAGCAATGTTACATCTCTTTTTTTTCTGTTGGGAGATGGCAGAAAAAAAGAAAGAAGGAAGTTCACAGAAAAACTTAAAATTCTGCTTTTTTTTTTCTTCTTTTTTTTCTTCCTTTTTCTCAAATCCCAGCGTGAATGTGTCGGCGAGCTCGTGGTATGCACCCAGATGAAAAGTAGAGGCCATCCCTTTGAAATCCTCCTCAAGTCAAAATTACCATTTCATTTCAACTCCAGCCAGGAAACGGAGAGCGGGGCCACTGCTAACTGCTTTGGGCATATCGTTATTTATTGTGTGTAAACTTTGGAGGAACATTGTTGCCTGGGAAAATGTGCTGTGTGGGTGGTGGAAGTGAGCAGTTGGAGCAGCCACAAAGGGAGAGATCAGGCCTATTTTCTCTGTAGGAGGAACACATAAAAGTGAAAATAATGCCCATTATTATAGAAAAACAACATGAGACTTCTTTTCTCGTAATTTTCTAACAGCCGAAGAACCACGTTTCTCTTTTTTTTTTTTTACCACAGAAGCAAACCAACCAACCAGTTGATCCTATTTAGGTAACTGTGTTCTCATTTTTCCTGCTCTTTTAATTAGTGAGCTTTCAGTGTTAAATAGGCAATTATCCGCGCTGGAACTAACTGCTTTTTCCATAATGGGCACATTAAGCTGTCGTGTTGTTTTATTTAGTTGGCTTTATCTACCTTTGCTACTAGGTACTTATCATTACCTGAGCCACATACACTACAGTGTACGGTCCTCACGGAAACCTACATGCTTTTCACAATCTTTTCAAAGCAATCTTCACTATCTTCACCATCTCCTCTATATTTTCTTTAGCTTATTGTTTTGTGGTCTTTCACTTATGGTGCATGACATTAGGTGTAGTTGTTGTATTTACAAGAATCCAAAGCAGAAACATTTATTTGCCAAGTATGTCTGACATAAGAGGAATTTGCCACGGTGGGTGGTGCATACGTGGCACTGAACAAAAGAGAATCATTTACAATTAATTTACCAATATCATATAGGGTAGCAAATAAAATATAAAATAAGGAAGGGCAGGCAGTAATCCTATACACAAGTGTGACGTTATGAAGTGTATTTGAAAGTGTCTTTAAATCACAAGCAAAATGTATTTGAAAAAGCCGTGTATCATGGGGCAGAGTGATGCTCAATCCAATACCACTCGCTCTTCTTCAGCATGAGAGGGGGCAGTAACAGGTGCAAGTCTGCACTCGGTCTTTGTTGTAACGTATTCCAGTATTGTTACGTTCTAAAAATGGAACTAAAAGTTAAAAAAACACACCCACAAAATCCTCAAACTTCCTTTCATAACAATCTCTAAACTGCCCCATGACCCAGTCTAGCCTCAGCAGACACGTATACACCGGGTATAAATATATGATAAATATCAGAATAACATACAACAACCTTACTAACCGTTCAGTGGGACTGGACTCACACTAGAGCTAAAAAGTAAAGCATAATAACATTGACAAAATTGAAATAAAGTGATGAGAAGCTGATGAGAACGTAGCCCCAAAAAAGCTAACTAGCTGAGAGATACACACATACTGAATATATATTGAAATGAATCATTAAAATGCAACGGCAATGCAGATAAGTTGACAGTTAAGAAGGCTGCAACAGGGAGGCCAGTGAGGAAGTCGGGGAGGGCAGCAGGTCAGAGTTTTCAGTGAAAGAATAATAACCAAGTGGAATTTGTTGGGTGATACTTTTCATTTTAATGTGACAATAGTGCCATAAATCTGAGATGACTCCTATCAACATGGTGGAGAAAACTACCGATAGGTACATATCTAATCAAGAGAGGGTATCATTTAACAAACCAACCATCTCCATTGTCCTCGACTCTACAGACATCGTTCAGTCGGTCGTGGCTTTGACATTTATATCGCTGTTTACTAGTTAGATGATTTAAGCTCAAAGGGTTCCGATGAACTGACTGAGTATCAGAAAACAGACAAGACAAGTTACATTGTGGAGCATTTAGCCGCTTCGGAGCCAGACTGATCTGTTGTTGATCACAAGAATGAATATCTAATTTAAATCAGCTTTACTGTGGGGCTTTTGGCTTTGAAAATTGACAATTGTTTGTTAAAATGCTAGCCATCAACCTCAAAAAGTAATATGAAAAAAAAAATGTGTGCAGCTCGTTCTGCTACCCCCTAGTGGTAAAGAAATCTATTATGGCAGACTTGAATTCAGGATGTTAAATTGCAATTACTATCCACGGAGGATTCGCAGCAAATGATAACCACAGTGCAGTTTTGCAGCTAGCATTGTGCTCCTTTAGCAGTGGGTTAGAAGTTAAAATAAAGAGACAGTCTCCTACATTTGCATAACACACAACAGCGTTTAATTTTGACCTCATGCTGTTCGTTCCAGGTCACCCGCAGGTTTAACATACGTGACCATATGAGAGGGTGTGGACAGAGTCCATTTGATTACTGACCAGCGCGGAAGCAGCGGAACTTTGTTGACTGTGTTCTCGTCTAACAAAAAAACGACATCTAATCTTAAACATATGGCCGAGGCCGGGGATTCTTGCATGACAGCATGCAGAGTGTGGGAAAGTCCTGCTGATGTACGTACAGTGTGTTCCTTTACGTCCTGCTGATTTCAGACATTTTGACACTACTTTATTGAGTTGTAAATTGTTATCCAAAATTACAACATTTCTCATTTCTGCTTAAATACTGCACTTGTCTGTGGTTTGATCAGAATAGTAAGAGTAGGCCTACTTAATAAGTAAACTGTGGCAAAAGTGAATGGAAAGCGAAAATCCAAGCGTGAAGTGCAGGAGTTTGTTACAGAAAGCAAGATGATGTGAGGAGTCGCAGACTTTGGAAGGACTATGGATCCAGAGGCCGACATTAGGCTGCATTGAAGTATGCTGTATGCTCCTGCCTACAAATTGCATCTTATCCAACTTTTAAACGTTATTATCAAAGTTTTGATGTTTTTTTTGAGAAGGGTTTTCATCACGGCCTTTTCACATCACATCTAAGGAAGTGAATCCCTCCTTTTCTGCAATGCAACAGTTCAGCATTTCTTTTCTGACTCAGTAACATCATGTTGACTGGCCTCATAACTCTGCAAACGTGTCCGTTGAAAAGCAAGCTAGGTGTTGCATATATATTTGGACTACGTGGGCTTGTTCATTTGTTTTAAATATCCCACTCTTTGTGTCTTACACTGCGATTTATTTGTTCTGGCCTTGGCGACATTGTATTTGGCTGCAACACTTATATATTTTAACAAGGACTGTTGAGGGTGGAGGGAAGTGTTTGACTAAACTCAAGTCGGGTCTTCTCAGACCTTTTAAACAGGGCTCTGTCCGTGGGGGGAAAGATGTTTACCTCAGCTGGTTCTATTCCCGCTGGCTGCGCAGGCCGGCCGCCTCTCTCGGATCTGCTCTCTGGAACAGAAGAAAATGCACAGTCAGAGAAGAAGAGTGTGCGATAAGGTGAGGAAAGAAACAAGTAAACAAGCCCACCGGGAGAAACGCAAACATGAGAAAAATACAGGTGCAGACAAAAGTGAGTCATGGAGACTCTGGATCATCTGATTGGAAACACACACACACACACACACACACACACACACTGTACTTTTGCCACTGACCTCTCGTACACAGGGGTGAGGGCTGAGAGGGGGGGGGGGGGGTGGAGGGGACAAAGGGTCTGCAGACCCCATCTGCATGGCTTGTCCCTCGCTATGTGGCCCTGTGCAGCACCTGGCCCCATGCCAGCGGCCCCCAACGCCCCTTTGTGGCGGCCAGAGCGATCGGCTGGAGTCTGCCTTTGATCCCCGGGCCAAGTATTCATCTCTAAAAGGAAGAGGAAGAGCAAAAAAAAGATAAACAGAAAAAAAGAGGGAGGGGAGGTGGAGAGAAAAAAAAAAGTCAACCTCTGCTGCCAATTATTGGGAAAGCATCAAGGTCTTTCCAGTCCGGTGTAAAGAGAGAGAAGAGAAACGAGGGAAGGGGAGGTGGGGGAACAGATAGCCGTTTGATGGCCTGGCTCGGTGTTAGTGGGGGGATTGTAACGAGTCAAGGTGAGGCAGACGCTCACCTGCAAGAGGTGATAACAGGTGGAGAGATCTATTTGTCCGGCCTACTAAGACACTTTCCTCTTTGGTGTTTTCTCTTTTCTTCTCATTATTCCTGTTAGCCCTTTTTTAAATCTTCGCCTCTTTCGCTATCTGTCGCAGACTCGCTCTCTCCCTCTTGTTGTTGACATTCTTATCTGTGACTTTCTTTCCGTTACCACTGTGTCCCGTTAAACCAGCTCACAAGGACAAATAAAGGTCATATCTCTGTCTCAGTTGAGGCGTTTCTGTCCCTTTCTGTCTGACTCTAGTCTTGAACCCACCTCCCCACACACACACACACACATACACACACACATACACACGCACATTAACTGTGTCAGCAGCGAAGGCGACCGTGAACGACAGCCTGCACACAGCAGAAGCATGTCATTCAACTGATGGGGATGTCATGACAACAAACAGGCGGGAGGATTACAGTGTTGTCAGTAAGCAAGGCACATTTAAAGCCTGTGAAGTGCAGAGATAATCACATAAATGATGCAGGTTACACTTCAAAAGTTAAAGCCTCAACGCTTTTTTCTTATTTCATATTGAAGCAAGTATGTGGCTCTGTGTTTACCGTCTTTCTGGGAAAAAAAAAATCAGCCGAAACCCGTTTGCTCAATATGACTATAAACGTTTACTACTGGCTGAATAGGATCCAATTACAGGGTTAAATTAAAGATTTTTTGTTACAAATATATGCGTCACAAACTAATACTCTGCCAAAACAGCAGAATCTGAATTATTTTATGATGAAGTAGAAAACCAAGAGTCAAAAGACCGGAAAAGTCAGCGATACATCCTCGTTGCACAGGAATACTGTCTCATCTTCCCGCACTCTATTACCTATTTTGACCTGTGCAAGATCACACGAGTAAGACAAGGCTGCAATAAGCTGGAACCATCCATTAAGGCTATGACATGATTAACAGCATTTTGCCTGAGATAAAAGTAAATGCCTGCATGTTATTCTATGTACGTACAGTGTAATATGTCCTGTAAGACGTAAAGGCACCACATGCTAACGGCAGTGCGGTTATTTTAATACCCAGCTTATGGTGCTGAAAACTGTTCACATGCATCACTCGCCTCCTCTCCTCTGCCTTCGTCCTTGTGGACAAAGGAACCGAACAGACAATAGAACATGCATTGATCACCAAGGACGAGTTTGTGCTGCTCTCTCTCTCTCCTTCGGCCTCTGTCTGTCTCTGTAATTCTCCTTTCATGGCTCTTTTTCCTGCCGTCTCCCGAGACCTTCTCAGTCGGCGAGAGAACAACAAAACTGAACATTAAAACGCCCCGCAGCGCTTTAAACACTTGTCATTTTGTCCTTTGTACAAATCAAGGCGAGTGTTGCTATGGACACAGTTAATTTGTATTGGTATGTTGGTTTTTCTTTTCGCCAATTCTCATTTCGTTAACTTTGTTGGTGGACGGAGAGGAAAACAGACAGCAACCCACAGTCAATTATCAGTACGGCAGAATGATCAAAAAACAGCCCGTTTAAAAATCCAATCTGTCCCGGGGGTGTGAGATGAGAGATGAGTGAAGGACATTTACCGCGGATCTCTGTGGGTATATTGACCAACATACAGCCTTTCTTTCTGAGGGAAGACGGATGAAAGGAGTGAGAATTTGCTCGCATGTGTAGTCCACAGTTTAGATCACATTATTTTTCTAGAATACGAGCGTTTTCTTTGCAGCATCTAAGATGTACGTTTCTTCCCCGTGTCTCGTTTCTGTGTGCGGTTTTTGCCTCGTTTAATGATACGCACTATGTACGAACGCCCGTGTGAGTGTGTTCATCATTACCTGCGTCCAGCCACGGGCGTTTAATTCAGCGAGCAGGGAGGGGCATTATCACACACCACCATCACTAATCCCCGTGGAATGAAACACAGACACTTTGAAGTCTGCCAAAGAACACTGCCGTAGTATTTGGAGAGAAGACTGCGCATCACGTACAAACCATAATTAACAATCTATAGCTGGACTCGAGCCAGGCAGAGAGGTGGAGGTGCAAAGAGGGCGGAGAATGGAGAAAAAAAGGACGAAGAGAGACAGACACTGGTGGTATAGAGCCAGAGGCACGATGGTGCAGCTTGAAAGAATGTGCAGTGTGTGTGTGTGTGTGTGTGTGTGTGTGTGTGTCAGTGGTGGAATGTAACGTGATGTAAGTACATTAGGTTAAATTGTGAGGTTCTTGCATTTTACAATTGTTTCAAAAGTAAAAACTGTGCTTTTATTTCAATTTATTTGACTAATTTAGTTACAAGTTACTAGTTAGATTATTAATACAAAATATAAATGTAATACACTATAGCTCCAGTGCATACATTAGCTCCTCCTTTACAAGCTACAACATGAGTGATGCTTACACATAAATGTATCACTAATTACAATTACTAATGATTAATACCATTTTATATATATATATGATACATATATATATACTGTTGTACTAGTATATTTGGATGCAAATCTTGTAAAAGAGTATCTCGGGGGTTAAGCTACTTCTACTTAAATAAAATAACGGTATACCACCAAACAATGGATGAAAGTGTTTCTGCAGTGATCAATGCTGGATTCTCACACACACACACACACACACACACACACACACGCGCGCTGTAACAAAAGAGCTGCTCTCTCAGCAACAACCTGCTGGTAGCTCAAAGAAAACCAGGGTGGAGAAGTAAGTACTGGACAACAAAATGTTGCCGTGCAGCCGGTGGGTAGAACACATCTTTTGTACTTGACGAGAAAGCAGAATGAAAAATTCAGGCCCTCCAACGCAGACTGGCAATGAGAGACGTCCCCCAAAACCGCACACCAACAGACACACAAACACACAAAGCCAGATTCCTCATGACACCTACTCACATTCTGGTGAGAAAATGATATCACTGCGTGCCAGTGTTCATCAAAACCTGTGTGAGTGCGCGTGCACACGCGTGTGTGTTGCACCGACGATAATGCATACACTTCGTGTAAGAGGATAAAACGCCAAAAAACCAAAGACTTTCATCAAAGCAAGTGAGAGAGGATGTCAGATTTTTTCTAAAGATGAAAGCAAGGGATATTCTCTCATTCGGCTCATCTCTTCCTCACCCTCTTTCAAAATCCTCGAAGTATCATCCTTGTTGCTATATGACAGAGAGAGAGGAGGGGGGGGCATCGGGGGGTAAAAGTTATTTACATCCCACGCTGCGTTATGTGGTCTGTCACTTCGCATTTTCTCCCAGGGACGTCCAACTGGAAGACTTCAGTCAACTCTCTTCAAGCCTGTATTTGCTGAGGTAATTACAAAGTGACAGCTTCAAATCCTCTGCCACACGCACACACACACACACACACACACACACACACACACACACACACACACACACAGAGACAAATATGGGTAAATATGGGAATGTGTTTCTGTAGCCGTTCAGAGTCTGAGCTCAGTTAGGTGAAACCGGAGCATCTCTCCTTTCTTTCTCTAAACAAAGTATTTAATGATTCAAATTCTTGGTATTTATATAACATGGGGTGGAAATTGTTTTTCAGACAGGCAAAATTAATTCCTGACACCATAAATCACATCTGGGATGCAAGCGCACACACACACACACACACACACACACACACACACACACACAAACTCGTCCACCTCCCATATTCACTTAGAGGTGATTGTAAGAACATCTTTGATCTTTTCCTCCCCTTTCTTCTTCAAGGAGATGTATTGCCTGTACATATAATCCATGACAGACATAATGTGATTTGGTAGTATCTCTAAATGCCAGAGAAAACCAGCTGACAGAAATTAATAAGTTAGAGCGCCAATGAAGGAAGTGGAGGAGGGGTTGGGAGGAGATGGTGGGCTAACCTGGCAGCAAAACATACAGATCATCACATTATCTTTTTAGGCACATTGTCATGGTAAAAGTCACGTGCTCAACTTGCCCCGTCTGCAGCTCCACACAGCAAGACGACAGACCGGCGTCTGTCGGTTTCGATCATTAGGCCATAAAATGAGGACCTTTGCTGTCACAGACTGGATGTTATGAACAATCCAGAGACCTGTGGGTTTTTCTGCTCCTCCTTTCAGTCAGTTCACTCCAGATGTGCACAAGGAGGGCTTCCGCTCGTCATTTTTAAGCACACAAACATGCGCACGGGCGTATAGGTAAGTGTTTAAAGAGCAATTTCACTTTTTACTTATGGAGCTTACACCCTTTTCGTTGAACAATCGTAAACTGTTGTGATGACTTGTGTGTGAGTTAACGGTCGGCTTTTGGAGAGTTGCAACGCGTTTCCAGGAATTAAACGCAAAAGGATGCAAGGATGAAATAATTTCAGTGTCGCAGTTAGTAAACAAGTGTGAAAGACGAGCAGCTGGCTGCAACATCTGCGGGAGTCTTAAACTTGTATTCTATCTTCTGGCCTTGAGGAGGCAACTGCTCATTTCTCAAGTCCGATTGCATAGAACTCCATGAGAAAACAACCCTACTTATCATTTGATTTATTACATCATAATGATGTCTAACCTGAGGTATTATTTAGAGTTGTATAGTTTGTACGATTGAATGTATTTAATATCTCATTTTCAAATGACATTTCAATTGAATTATATCAATACTATAGGTTATTGATTTCCAAATTTAACAGGATGAAAAAAAAATTGACTTAATATATGAAGTGAAATATAATTGAACTGCCATTGAGCAAAGTGATGTCACGCAAAAT